TGACAATGGATGTTTGCGTGACAGTCATAACTTTAAGGACGGGTCATAAGAATTTTTTCTGAGTCTTCCGGTTTGAGCTTCTTCGGTGACAGACCGAAACCTCGTCTCTCCGAGGCTTCGATCTGTGCTCGCCACTGGGGCGCCCTGAGCCGGCTGATTTCGGGGCTAAGCCACCCCGTAGAGGTGGTGAAGAGGGGGGAGACTGCCTGCAGGGTTGAGGAGAGCCGCATCTCTCCTCCCCAGCTGGCCATTACTCCCTTTCCCGAAGGCGGTTGTAGCGGTGGTCAGAAATGGCCACCACAAAGAAGAACTCAACGGGAAAAGAATGTGCAGGAGGAAGATGAGAAAGTTTTGGTTGACCGGGTCAAACAGCAAAAAAGCAACAAATAAGGTACCCTGGAATTTAAACTTAACAACATTGTTCCCAAAGAAGATTTTGAAGCTGCGAAGGAGAGAGAGAAGGGAAAGGATTAGGTTTTTTTCCTTCCTTTCCTTATACTGACAGCTAAGAGACTTAAGCAAGAAACTGGAAAAAAAATCCACTTTGACATTAATAGGCATCTAAGCTGAAAATAAAAGTCAAAGGGATAAATAAAGATTTCTGGACATTTAAAAGTTTTTAAAAGCTGGAAAGGAGAAAAAAAAAGAATAGAAGGGCAGGATCTGGAAAAATGGAGGAGACTGCCTGGAATTAAGGAATGGAACTGTAATTAAAAGGAACTTACAGTGAATTTTTAACAAGATTCCTCAAAGATACATTTTAATGGAAACTTGGTAACAAAATAATAGAACCCCAGGAAGAGAAAGTGGAAAAAAGAAGCAAGTAGAAACAGCCTTGGATTATTTGGATTACTTGGTGATTTTTGGTTTTTGCATCTAGATGACTAAAATTAACTGGGTGGTTGTTTAAAAGTTTTTAAAATGGTATCACTCTTAGAAGAACTGAAAACAGAACTTAAAAAATGGAAAGAAGACGCACAAGAAGGGAGAAGTTCTTTTGGCTTCGTGTTTCAATTCTTAGAAATGGAGATCTGGAACTATGAGAAGCAACAAGAAATGCTTGCAGAACAAGAAGATTGGGACAAAGAAGAAGCCATCTTTAATGATCAAATAATTTTAAGGGGGGGGGAGAAAAGGGGGGAAAGAGAGTGAAAGGTTTAAGTTTAGAAAAAACAACCAAAAAGAAGAAGAACAATTTGAAAGATAAGTATAATATTAGAAAGCAACAGAAGAGGGGATTACAGATGAGAGAGTTAGAAGTAGAGAGACGAGGGGGTAAAAAGGGGAGGGAGAAGAAGAGGGGGAAGAAGGCAAGGAAAAGAAGTTGTAAAAGACAGAAACAAGAAATGGAGAAACAGGGAAAAGATATAAGGATTGTAACCATAAGTTTGTTTAGAGATAATGGGTGAAAATTTAATTGTAAAAGGGATTCTGCAAAGGTACATAAGATAGCTTTGTTATATTACAAGTAGAAATAACTTTAGAAAATATGATGATGGATAAAATATTTATTGCAATGCAGTGGGATGTTTGTTAATAAATAAAATGATTGAGAGAATTAAAAGGGAGCATTTTTAATTATTAGTAATGATTTATAAAAATGTAAGAGAGAAATATGGGGAAAAAAAGAATTAACTATGGAAAGTTTATAAGTGTTCCCAAGGAAGTATGATATTCAATTGAAAAGAAATGTTAAAGATGTTAAGATTTTAATGCATATTAATGATAGAATTGAATTGGAATGGAATGTGTTTTATTTACATATATTTTTTCTTTTTAAGAATATAGTGTCTATTTTAAGCATGTACCAAGCAGAATTTGATTGGAAGTTATGTATTATATTGAATGCTATAATCTTAAAGCTATACATTGAAGCTTAAATAAGAGCTTGAATGGATAAAATTAAAGGATATAAAGATGTCATACTCTAATTGGTAACTACAGGGAAAAATTTGTTTAGTAAGAAAAGATAATGTGAAATTGTAACAGGACAGACAAAAGTATAAATATAATGATTTGAATTGAGATAATCAAAAGAAAGTTGAGAAAATTAGAAGAGGGGAAAAACTATGTAGAAAATATAAAATGGTAATAAGATATGGAATAGAATATAAAAATGAGCATGAAATTGAGTTTTGTGTCTGTATGAAGAAGTGATAACCGGGGACCATGCTATTTTCAAAAGATATGTTTTATTTGTATTTTGTTTTTGTGAAAACCCAAATAAAATTTTCAAAAAAAAATATCTGAGTCTATTAACTTCAAATGATTAAGTAAGGACTAGATGTATATAAAAACATTGTGTGTAGAGTGCCTATGCGTAGCACAATAATGCTGCAGCATGCTTACCCATGACCTTGTGACTGGATTTATATCCTATGCCAATTGCCAAATCATAATTTAGTGTGCAGTAGCCTTAATGAGCCTTTGGCTACCATGCTTCCTTCCCATATGGCCAAAGAAGAGTGCACAAGTTTTTGCTTTCATTTTATATAAACACACATTGCTTTAATAAGTTCTGGATCTTTCTTTTATCATCATAACTAGCTACAATTTAAAAAATCATAATGTATAGATAATCCTTGACCTGCAACTGTAATTGAGCCCAGAATGATGGTCATATGTTGTGGCAGCCATTAAGCAGTTTTGCAAACATTTAAGTTACCCAAACTTTTTAAACTTTCCCATTTTAATTCAAAAATTGGAATCAGATACCACAGCAAATTATTTGCGTGCTTAATTTTGGCTTAATAAATAAACATAAGGGATAAACAGATAATTCAGAAACAGACAAAAAATAGGGTTGCTATTTTGGACATTGGAATGTCTTTCCATTTTTTGTAGTCAAATTCTTTTTCTTTTTCTTTCTGAGAGCATAAATTTAAACATATACTTTGTTTTATTACTAAACAAAAGTTTAATAACATTAAACTTTTCCTGAAATAAAATTTTAAATTATACTGAGGTTTGTCTTTATTGTGTTATGTCTGGCTTCACCACTTTCAGATGCAGCCTGTCCCCACATATATGCGGGAATTTAGGATCAATAAAGAAAGTCAAACATCTTCTGGATCTATACTAGAAGGCTTTTAGTGAACAGCTAGACAACTCATGAACTATTGGGTCATGCTTATCAGAGATACAGTATTTCCTTACCAGATTCCTCAGTGTCTTTCAATAATACTTCGAATGTATTGCCTTCACTGGAAAGGTTGGGATACATTCAGAGATGTATCTACCTTAAATAGCCCACGTTGAATTGTATAGCATAATCAAACATCACCACAGGAAATGTTTTATGACATTTTGTATTATGTCATAAACTGTTTCATGATAATTTTAATGTCATAAAATGATTTATAACATTTGCCTTTTTCATTTCCATAGGAAACAAGGGTCCCAGATTTTGGACATATTCTGTAAATTAGCCCATTTGAGATAGCTTGGTTTGGAAATTGTTCCCCTAATGCACTGTTTTGCCCAATTAGAAGTTACAGGAATGAGTTTTAGTAATATATAGATTTTGAAACTAGACATAGACATGGATAGATTAAAAAAAAGTAGCCTGGAACAAAAGAGGACATCTGGATTTTGGTGGCTTGCTATTATGGCAACTAAAAGCAACAAATATTAAAATTTTAAAAGTATTCTGATTTCAACTTAGCTTTGCTCAAGGTTGGCAAAGAAGATTAATTTAAATGGTGTAACATCCAGGTGTTTTCCCCCTAGAGTTATAAGCTGGCATCTTCAAAATATATTTCAAGCAATTGCTGAAAGAACCTATTTGGTTGTTGGTGTTTTTACGTGGCTGTCCTTCCTGTGCTCCAAAGCAAATCACTGTTGTGACCCACGGCAAGCATTCATATTTGTTAAATTGGTTCAATTTTGGTATGAATTCACCACTGCATTGTTCCATCATAACAACTGGTCCTCCTGCCTGTTTTATTTCTGAGCAATATAAGAAAAGTCAGGATTTCTATGCTGTGAAAATAATGAATTTAAGTAGCAGCTAACGTAGGTTGCCAGCTGTATAGAAAAATGAAAACAATATTTTGTATATTTATTGAAGATTTTTCTTCAAGTAAAAGACAAATCTAAAGAAACAGAAAGAAAGATGGTAGAAAGAAAAAAAGTGCAAGAAAAAAAGAAAAGGAACAAAAATTATGAAGTATGACTTCTAAACTTCCCTTCAACAAATTGCAACCTCTCCCTCTTGTTATGCAAATTCCTTCAGCTTCTCACTTAATTCACATCTTTTTTTAATCTTTGAACCTGTAAATCATTGTATCATTTATTTTATTTTATTTTTCTCCTTCTTTCAGTGAAAAGTCCATATAAAGTTTCCAGTCTTTCAAAAAAGTTTTTGTTCCTTTTTTCCTCTGATAAAACAGGTCAGCTTTGTCATCTCAGGAAATTCTTCCTCTGTGGGAATTTCATTATTCTTCCATTGTTCAGCATATAATAATTTTGCTGCAGGTCAAAAATTTCTTGGCTTTTGTCACAAGTCTACCAGCCTGATAAAATGTCCCAATATGTTTTAACATTTCTGAAATTGTTCTGAAATAACTTTGTACACTTTTGATAATGTGTTTGTTCTCCTATACCACAATAGATAATTTTATAAAGGTTTTTGCTTTAGTTATGACACAATCTGAATTTCATACCAGTTTCCCACACTGTCTCACATGTATCTGTCTATATATTACATTCAAAATTTAATAGCCCATTTTGTCCCGCCATCTTTAACTTGTTCTTTGTTTCAAATCTTAACAGAAATCTATATGTTTTTGCTATTATGTATTCACTGTTTGTACATAATTAAATTAACTTCCATTTTGTGTTTTTAAATTCCAATTATTTTTACCCATATTAAACCTTTCTTTTAAATAAGCATATGAAATCCATTGAAAACTATGTCCTTGTGCAGTCAGTTGGTCTCTTGACTTCATTGAAAAATGAAAACTACCTAAAAGAAACTTAATATGTCATTCTTTCTACAGGTTTGACATGGGAAAAAGCACTAAGGCATATTGGATTTGAAAGGTGAGCACCAGATTTTTATGTTTTACTAAGAAGGAAATTTAATTTTGCAACTTATATTGATTTTTATCGCCATACTATATATTTTGCTACTTAAGTGATATTGACATGTATGTATAATATATTTAAATTTAACATGTGATGTAACTTGACATTTTAAAGCAAGAAGGAAATAAAATAAAAAAGGAAAACAATGGAGAATCGATGTTACTTCTAAATAGTTCCACATAATTTCTGAAGAATATGTTTTTCAACAGGGGAGCCCATAGAAGCTCAAAATAGTCAAGACAGTGTATGTCACTGCATGATTGAATTACCATCCCCTTTTAACACTTGCTATCTGCAGTTGCTCACCGCTGAATTATTTTTTAAAAACATGTTGGAAGCGATGAGAATTATACAGAGGAAAAATATTAGGAGAGTTATATCTTAAATATAATAAAAAACGTTAGGCTTGATTCTTTAAAAATATGTATAGCCTTCTCAAAAAATGGTTGGATGGTTGAATTTGGTTGAATGATTGATTTTAGGCATCATACTAAAACATGATGTAACATTATGGAAGCATGGTTGTCCTCATTCTAGAACAATATATTCTTCATCCTTTGTTTTCCTCCTATACCAGCATGAACATAAAGTAGAACTTGAAATTATGCTTATTATGGTTTGTTGCACAATCAACCAGATGTTTAGACTGGATTTGGCCTTTTTTCCATCTATTGAGCCCTTCCCAAAGACCTGGGATAGACAGATGTTGATTTTTGATGGTGTTAAATGCATGGTCATAGGATGTAAGCAAGCCCAATTTAGGATTCCTAGTGTATAATGTGAAGCAGGGGTGTCAAATTCATGGCCCGTGGGTCAGATGCATCCTGCGCTGACCCTGCCCCCGCCCAGTTTAGCGAAGGGGACAAAAGTCCCGATATGTGATGTAATGCCTCTGTTACAACATGAGTTTGACACCTCTGATGTAAAGGATGCAATTTTGTAAGCATGGTATATATTTGAAAATACCTTCAAAAGATCTATGATAGTAGAATTCCTTTTTTATAATCCTAGAGAAGTTGTTGTAATTTATTATAATATAATAGGTGACAAGTATGTTTAATTGAAGAATTCTAGTCCTGACTTAGGTATGAAAGCTGGGTGGCTGAGCCAATCACTCACAGGGTTGATGTGGAGAAAATAGGAGAAGGAAGATTTATTAAATATGCAATTTATAAAAAAAATAATAGGTGGGGCACTTAAAAAAAAATTCCATAGCCTAGAAATAATGTGAAGTTAGAGGCCAAATGCTGGATTTTTATATTATTTGTGTGTGTGTGTGTGTGTGTGTATTAATTCCTATAATATTTTTTTACAAAATAAAATGGAGCACTATATTAGAAGCAAATCCCATGAATCTTATTTGCAACTAAATATGTAACATTTCAGCTTCAATTTATCTTTTTTTCATATTGAGCTCCTTAAGACTATTTTGATTCTCATGCTATTATTTAAATAGTTATTATTTACACATTTATTTGCTTCATTTAGATGACTCAACTATTTTTCAATTACCATGAAAACAATTATGTAAATATTGTAAAACTAGGGAGTGTTGCTAGGATTCAACTTTTAAGAGTCAGTCCAAATTCAAAATACAAGGGTGAGACTGTTATGGTCAAGTAAATGGCACAGCAGAACAGAAATAGCTGAATGTTAAATATGTTGAAACCAGAGCTTTTTTCTTCAATTTGTAAGCAAAGGTCAAATAGAGTAAAACAAAGGATTCTTAAAAAGAAGTAGGTAAACTCAAATATGCATTGCCTATATGTGGAATTTTTTCACATTTAGTGGTGGGATACATATCCAGAAAGAATTGTGTATATGATGACAATATATTTTGAAAAGACGGGGCAAAAAAATACTGTAGGAATTATTCTCTGTTTCAGCAGACTTGCAAGATAATCCCCTGCTTAAAGAGAACTTGCAAATGAGAATTCACTCAGATTCCAATAATTCAGATCTTTTTGTAAATGTTTCACAAATGTGTTTAAAAGAAATAATGGAAGGGAAATAAAAATATATTTATAAGTCTCTATATTTACTCTCAACATTGGCTGGTCCTGTTTTATTTCATGCTATTTTTGTTATTGCTATCTTCCATTGATTTACATATGTTCCTGCTTCTACCAATAGCGTTATTTCCTTTGCACTTACATATTTAATTTAATATTAATTTAATACACATTTTTTAAATAAAGGAACCCTTTGTAGCAAGGGCACCAAGGATTAATTGTTTCTAGTATATGTATTTGGATATCTGGAAATAGCTTGATAACATGGGTTCTTGGGCTGAGACACTGAGAAAAAAATTTAGGTAGTTTGTTCCATTTTTCCAATATGGCACTTCTAATATAATGATTCTTAAAATTATATTATTATAACATTGAAAGTAGGCCAGCCAAACCCCAGATCATGCTCTAAAGCTCTCTTGCTTCTGAGTCAAATCCACTTATCAAGACTAAGAAATAAGCTGCAAAATAGAATTTCCAATCAGATAGACCTAGTCCTTTTCATTTCTTTGTATCTTGAAGTATTTTTATGTTTAACCCTATTTTCATCTCTTACCATAGAAACCATTAAGATATGTAAATGTAGTAGCTGAAACAGTGGGGTTGTACAATGAGCCAGAACACAGTTATAACTGATTGGTTGGAGAGTGCTGGCTAGTGCATGAGGCAGTCTATGCTGTGATTGGTTACTATGGGTGAACAGGGGAAATTTCCTTTTCTCATCCCTTTTATTTTAAAGAACCAGTTATTTCCATCAATTTCAGTTGTTTTTTTCCATTTCCATATTCTTTGTTAACATCTTCATCTTTATTTGTTTTAAAACTAGCTAACACACTCCAAATCCTTTAATTTTGCCATTTTCCTTTCAAAGGCTCTCCCAAAATTACCATCTGGTCAACAGCAAATGTCTATAATATAACCTTCATTCAAGCAATCCTCATGTATTAATTATCACTTGTAAAAATCATTTAAATATGCATTTTAGTATTTGTAAAATTAATATTTTTTAATATTTTAATTTGTATTTATTGATGCTGGGATGCTGGTTATTATCACTGCTTTATCATAACCTGGATATATAGTTATTGGTAGCATTTTACAATTGGCAGGAACACTCAAATTGTTTTCAGTATTTATTATAAGTTATTGAGAGGATATAGAATTTTACAAAAACACTTCTATAGCTATTCTCAAATTAATCATCCACAAATCTTGCCTTCAGAAGTTGTGAGAGCTTCATCACTGGAAGCTTTCAAGAAGAGACTGGACTACCATTTGTCAGAAATGGTGTAGGGTCTCCTGTTTGGGCTGGGGGCTTCGACTAGAAGACCTACAAGGTCCCTTCCAACTCTGTTAATCTGCTAAATCTGTTAATCTGTTGATTTTACTATCAATCTTAACATTAGAGTCTCTGGTTATTTGGAGGCAATGAATATACCATTGTTGTCAAATCTGTATCAGTTTGTTCATTGAGAACATAAATATGGCTTCAGATTAATTTAGAGAGCTGGAATATACATTTAAAATTCTGTTATTTTTTCTTAGGCAAAAAATATGTTAATACTATTAGGTTGTTTTAGGATTATGGGCATAATAAAAGAGAATCGGAATCAAATCTGTAAATAAATAATAAATAAGAGGAATGTCAAATAACTTAAGTCTGAAACTGAACCAAAGTTCATTTTTAGTAACTTATTTTTATAGACATATGTGTTTCTTTCAAAACATTGTATATACATTTAGTTTCTGTAACAACACGTTATACGATACTTACATTTTAAAGTGAAATTTAAATGAATTTCTTGGGGGAGAGAACTGTTTCTGATGCTAACTCTGCCTTTACAATAATGTCAGATTTCCTGCAGTGAGAGAAATTCAATCTGTGATAATATGCATTGAATGAAGAAAAGTTAAAATTTCTTCAATTATTTCTGTGTAGTCCACACAGGTGTATTGGAAGGAAGGATATAAACTCCTACTGTATTGTAGCCAAGAAAACTGTGGACATTTTCATGAATTTACCAGGAGTTCAACTTGAATCAATGGAAACCTTGCTATCTCAGTAAAAAATATTAAGAACATAATTCTTGAATTACAATGGTGTGTGTAAGAGTTGGTTCTCGACTGATATGTCTAGTGCCCTCTTCCAAAGCAATCAATCCATTACAAAAGAGGCACACTTACTATTAATGTTCTTTACATTAAAAGAGTATACAGTAGAAGGAGAGCAAATCAGAAATTCATTCCACTTCCTACCCTTTGAGGAACGGAGGCCATGGCCAGAGGAATTTTTTGCACAACTTCATGTTGTGTACCAATCATGCCCTTTCCTTAATCAGGGACAGCTGTGCATAATCATTTATGCTTTGGTAACCTCCTAACTGGATAGCTGCAATGCATTCAACATTGGACTGCCCTTGAAGAACATCCAGAAGTTGTAGAATGTGGCTGTGCAAGCAGTTATGATTATGCTTCAGTGCATCTATGTTACGTTTTGCTTTCTTTACTGACCTGGTTTCTAATAGGTTTCTGGGTACAATTCAAGGTACTGGTTGTCACCTATAAATCCCTTCATGGTATGAAGCCACACTGTTTCACAGACTGCTTTTCTCTGATTGACTACCCACCACATTGGTCCAGGTCTCATCAATTAAAGAGTGTCACCTGAAGTGACCCAGGAAGCATTTATTTTCTGTGGCAATGCCTGCTCTTTGGAACAGTGTTCCTCCCAAATCAGATTAACTCTGCTGGCCTTTTTTGAAGCCCTTTTGTGAGGCAGGGTATTCAGAAGCGATTGAATCCAATAACTGAAACAATTAGGGGCTAACTGTTTATTCTCAGTGGCCATTTTCATTTTGTTTTCCAATGTGTTTTCTTTATTCCATTTTGTTATTGTAATTGATGTTTTTATTGATGTATTTATAGAGCACCACTCTATATAAATCA